ATGATCCTTGCCACAGTACTTGCAAGTCCTACCGTGTCCTATTACTAGAGTCTGAGGAGGAGCTTGAGTCGCTAACCTAAGCTTTTTGTTCTGCTGAGCCGGTGGACTGGGTGCTAGTCTACAGTGTGAAACCGGGGGTATGGGATTCCCCATTGCTGGAGAAAAGATGCGAATGTTCATCTCCACTAGCTGTGCCTTGGCAAGAACTACTGAGTAAGTACTGAACTTAATTATGTACAGCTGCTGTTTGATCTCAAGGCGGGGGCTCCACTCCAACTTCATTACCTTCCTGCCTTCATTCATCATGCTCTTAGGAGAACACCAGTCCAACTCTAAGAATTTTTGGGCATACTCCGACACAGTCATCTCACCCTAGACAAGGTGTGCAAACTCCATCTTCTTCGAATGTCGAAGGTGCTCCAAGAGGTATTCTGTATTGAAAGCTATCAAGAACTGTTCCTAAGTGACTGGAACGGGTAAGGTGACTTGCTTGAGTTGCCACCAACGGCCTGCCTCTCCCACAAACATATAGGTGGCAAGTATAATCTTCTGTTCGGGAACCACTCCAAGAGTCTCGAAGACATTCTCTGTCTCAGCTAACCAAAACTCGACATCTTCAAAATAGGATGCCCCTACAAAGGTAGAAGAGTTTAGTCTCTTGTACCTCTCAATGTAGCCTGGGTCCATCATGGGTGGAACTGGATCCTGTGGAAGAGGAACCAGATTGTGCTGGGAAGGGACTTGGTGGCCTTGTGGCGGTGTCGGATGATACGGTGGAGGCACCGGATGATACTGTGGCGGTATTGGATGATGCGGTTGAGGCACCGAATTTTGCTGTGGTAATGCCGGATAGCTCTGGATCTTCCCGTTGCAAGGGTGGCTCAAATTGTGGCAACATGGGAGGGTCAGGCAGCTCCCTCCTTTCATCCCGGGCTTGCTGGGTAGAGATGAGTCTCTTCAGCATCTCAAATAGTTGGTTGACATCCTCCCAAAGCGAGCCATCCTGGGCTGTTCGATTTAATGGTGGTCTTCCTCTCTTCATTTCTTTTACGTGCATTTCACAAGGAAAAGTTAAGTGATAATTTTATATTTGGTATTTTTAGGTATTTGTGTAAGGAATAGTTCCGAGAAACCCGACTTTGATACCAACTGAAACAGCCTGAAACTAGAAGAAAAATAAATTCATAAATTTAATTTGGAAGCATATAATAACATTAGGGTTTACATTCCTTACACATAAATTTAAATGCCCAATAGGATTACAAAAATGTCTCTTTCATAACAACGCATAAAAAAAGAAATAAACATGTGAAAATAGTAAATAAATATTGTGGGGAAGTTAAACTCCATTAGCTCTTAATGGGGTCTAGGGAATACTTACTCACAGCCCTTATGCTGATCAGGATCTGAGTCTTGATCTTTTTTATCTGAAATGATTAATAGATGTGAGCTACACTAACTCAATAAAATATCACATTACTTATCGATACGGAAACTGAAGGTTGGTAAAAAATATATAAAATAACTAATAGAGCTCCTAATTTAAGTAAGGTCATTTATCATAAGGAAAACCATTTATTGCATACTTACTATTATGAAATTTTTAAAATCAACCTATAAAGACAATAATTCAAATGACATTATGATTTCTTATACAAGTGATAAAAACAATAACTTTTTCTTTTTTATCTGCTTACTAGTACCTCTAGGGGTCTATAGGGATATTTCCTTACGCGTGAACTCAATATCTAAACTTGTTGATTATCTGGCCGTTCCCATACCTCGTTCGGTATGAACACCAAAATGTCATCCCTCGATACTCCATCTGGTATGAGGGTGAACTGGGTTGTCCCCATACCCTGTCAGGTATGAGCGCTAAAATATCATTCATCGAGACTCCGTCCGGTATGAGGTGACGCTCATGGTAGGGTTCTCTATGTACCTGGTCCGTCCACCATCTCCCAGGATATCCAATAAGAGAACCATTTATTAATTCACATCATCAAACAATTTTTCATCTGTATATTAATCTCACGTTTCACCACCAACTGTAAATCATGCAAAACAACCGATATATGTATCAAGAAAACACAACTGAATCATTTAACTTTTTCAATATATTATTATGTATTTAAAGTTATACGAGTAAGTAATAAGTTAAACAGGACAAATAAACAACTAATTGGTTCCAGCTCCATTAGTGACCTGTAATTATTTTTGAAGTTTTCTAAATTCCACAGAATACTATATTATTGATTTTTAAGCTTTAATTCCATAACAAGGAATAAGGAGAGAGATTCTTACTTGAATCGGTATCCGAAATACTGTACTTTCTACCGCACCTCCTGACGGTCCCAAGATTTTTTAAATTTTCCTGCAAGATTAAACACGCTCCGCGTACCTAAAAAATACTCAAAAGATCTAAAATTGGTGTTAAAAATACCTTCCGACACATTTCGGGATTCTGACACGACAGTGCCGCTGTGCTCCGGTGACAGCACCGCCTCCTGTGGCCATGGTTTGCCTCGGCCTGACCGTTTTTCGGCTGATTTTACACATATCTCTGTGAAAAAACACTTAGAGAGTCTCGGTTGGCCAAAAAAATTAGAAAATCGAAACCTACCTGTGGTGGGGTTTCCGGGTGCAGCGGCTCTACTGGCTCTCCTTTGCAGCTAGGATTCCTCATTCGGTCAAACTGTAGAAAATAGAACAGTGAATACAATGGTAAAAAATTCGCACGAAACAGAAACTTAGAAGGGGCTCATCGGAGGAGGTTGCGGGTTTTAGGCCGCGGTGGCCTAACCGGGCTTTACCCGTAGTTTTCGGTTCACCTGCCATTTGTTTTGCTTTGATATGAACACAAGAGTGCTGAGAATCAAATCCCGAGCGAGTATGAGAATTTTTACCTTTTTTGGCGGTTTGAGGTGGCTCTGGTGCGGTGGCGATCAGCAGTCGGCCTCCATCTCTAGCATCTAGCTCTTCTTCTCCGGTAGGGGGGTTGGCAGTTAGGGTTCGAATTATGTGTAATGTGAAATATTTATAGCTATCCCGCGTTAATATGGGTCGTCTATCGTGATCGATCTCGTCCGTCCGATCGCGCTTAAGAAGGAAACGAATCAGGAATGTTCATCGCGTTTGATCTTGACCGTTCAATTGTGCCTAAGTGGGAAATAAATTTGGACCGTTCATCGCGTTTGATCTCCATCGTTCGATCGCGCCTAAGGGGGAAGCGAATCGGGACCGTCCACACGCGTGGGATCGATCCTAGGCCGTCCGATCGTGGGGCACGTGGATTGCCAGTGTGACCTCCTGCCTGGCGCCAACATCAGCGTGGTTGGCCACGCAGCGTGCTCCGGTTTGTCGAAGCTGCTGACTAGGTGGTCCTACGTGACCGAACTTTCTCTAATTGCACTTTAACCCCCCTGTTTTTAATTTTTTTTTCAAAAATACCTACCGAACTCAAATTTTCACTCATTCTTCCCAAAATTATTTTCAATTTCGTCCATAATTTGTTTTTTTTAAATTCAATCAAATTGAAATAAAATAAAAAAATTTCAATTATTATATATATATATATATATATATATATATTCATAATCCGTAAGCATCATCCTGGTCAATTTTCGGGATCGAGTGTTACAAAAAATCTAACGTTATTCAATTTTAAATAACATTTTCATAATTAAACTACTACTTGTTTAAAAGAAAAATTTATTGTTTAATTATTTTTGTGATCCATAATTTTTTAATTGGTGTTAAAAATTTTACTTAACATTACAATTTAACATATTAAATTAATATTAATTTTGATTTTAATTATTTTTTATTTATTGATGTGATTTATTATTTTTTCCTTCAAACACATCCTAAATCATATATATGATATTTTCATAAAAATTTTCCCAAACTTTTAAAATAGATTTAAAAATTAATTTATAATAAAAAATAATAATGACCAAAATATAATACTAGTTATATTTTAAGGAGTAAGTTATATATTTCATGGTGGCAATAACTGCATGCTGTTATCATAATTTTTGGGAGGTAAGAATTTTTGTCTCCCGACAACATTGTACTAAGCTTTTAATGTTTAATAAAATTTAATTATTTTTTTAAAAATAGATATTTCATAATTATAAAATATATCATTTACATTAAAAAAAATTAGATATTTCATAACTATAAAATATATCATTTACATTTCTTCCCTCTTATGTCAATATTGATTAATATTAATCTCACGTGTTGATTTATGGGAGTTTTTTTTTATTTTGTTTAGATCAATCTCATGTATTGATTAACATAGAGGTTTGATTTGATAATATATAATATATACAAATGATTTTAAATTATTAATAATGTAATTAATATGATAATAGATATTTATTTATCTAATATGTTAGTATATAATAATTTCTATTTAACTAATTTATATATAATAATATAATATGATAATTTATACAATAATTTAGTCAAATTTTTTAAACATAAAAATTGAACTTATTTTTAAGACAGTTACCTACTTAAAGCTTTTAAATGTAGATAGCAAATTTAATTTTAAGTAAACTATAAATTACATTAAATGAATTTTAAACTAAAAATAAAACTGATTAAATAATATCACAATGCAATTAATTTTTAACTGATTAAAGCTCTATAATTATTCAATATATAAACTCTTAATTATTATTTTTTTTCTTGTTACACCTTACTGATTCTACAGTAAAGAAAAAAAAGTAAAGTAATTTTTTTTTTTAATATTTTTGTCAATTTTTTTTAATCTGGTGGTCCCACGTTTACTCACAACATAATATAAAACAATATTTGTTCTCCTACCAACCCCGACCTCTCAGCCTACCTCACCTACCACCGGAACTCTCCCTTCCCTCTTCACAGAAGTCTGCCGTTAAATCTAACGGCAATGAACACCTGACACCTCACCCACTCTCCCACACTCGCGATAACGAAATAGATAGGCCACAAGACCCACCTAACGCCCACCAAAATCAACCCCCGTTTGGCTTATAAATCCCCTTCATCTTCTTCTTATTTCTTCAGTCACTCCCACCACATCTCCCATAAACTCGCCATTAATTGATCATCCATAACACCACCATGGATCTCCTCCTCTTGGAGAAGACCCTTTTGGCTGTCTTCTTCGCCGTCGTTCTCGCAATAACCATCTCCAAGTTCCGGGGAAAGCGTTTCAAGCTTCCTCCCGGACCCATCCCCGTCCCTGTGTTTGGCAACTGGCTCCAAGTCGGCGATGACTTAAACCACCGAAACCTCACAGATCTCGCCAAGAAATACGGCGACATATTCCTCCTCCGAATGGGGCAGCGGAACCTGACAGTCGTCTCGTCCCCAGAACTAGCCAAAGAGGTGCTCCACACTCAGGGAGTGGAGTTCGGGTCCAGGACCCGGAACGTGGTATTCGATATCTTCACCGGTAAGGGACAGGATATGGTGTTCACAGTTTACGGTGAGCACTGGAGGAAAATGAGGCGGATCATGACCGTCCCTTTTTTCACCAACAAGGTTGTGCAGCAGTATCGTTACGGGTGGGAGGATGAGGCGGCACGTGTAGTGGAGGATGTGAAGAAAAACCCAGAGTCCGCCACGAATGGGATCGTGTTGAGAAGGCGATTGCAGCTGATGATGTACAATAACATGTACAGAATCATGTTCGACAGGAGATTCGAGAGCGAGGATGATCCTCTGTTCAATAAACTGAAGGCATTGAACGGGGAGAGAAGCAGATTGGCTCAGAGCTTTGAGTATAACTACGGAGATTTTATACCCATCTTAAGACCCTTCCTGAGAGGTTACTTGAAGATCTGCAAGGAGGTTAAGGAGAGAAGGTTGCAGCTGTTCAAGGACTATTTCGTGGAGGAAAGGAAGTAAGTTTCTCTTAACTTTTTTCTTCTCGTATGAATAATTTTTTTTTCATTAATCTTCTTCGTTTCTGAATTTACTGGCCTTCCCAGTCTGATAAACAACGAATTTTCCCAAAATTCCAGGAAGCTAGCAAGCACGAAGAGCATGACGAACGAGGGATTGAAGTGCGCGATCGACCACATATTAGACGCCCAACAAAAGGGGGAGATTAATGAGGACAACGTTCTTTACATCGTCGAGAATATCAACGTTGCTGGTATGTCCAAAACTCACCAAACCAAACGTGGCCTTAATCTCTGCATCTCTTTTGATTTGTCAGGAATACCCATCTTACTCCTTTTGCCATAATCTAAAACACAAGGGTAATTTCGTCATTGAAAACGGGGAAAAAATTAATTATTAAAGAGCCGATTGCGATGAAATATTTTAATTTGCAACCTCCAATTCGGGTCGGGGTGTGTCGCTCATTTAAGTCTTAGTCGGACAAAAATGCTCGGCAGTTTCGATTTTTTTCCTTATATATATATATCAGGCGGTGATTCTAATCCCTTAATTTAGATGAAGGGTTGAAACTATTTTTTTTTTTTTTTTTAAAATCGTTTTGATTTGATCCAAATTTGCAAATGGGTATTTATTATTTTGTTTGTTTTCTAACGTGAAGACGTTGCAATAATTAGTATTAGAAACGTAATAATTGAGGGTTGAATTCGAAATTCAATTTTCAGTTGCTACAAAGTATTGACTTATTTTCTCAGAACACAATTCAAAGCACTTTTTTGAGAGATTATGTTATAGGGAAGAAGGGGAGGGCTGGGCCTGGCGCTGAAACCTTGTTGTCATACGGCGCCGTGTTGCTGTGTCAAACTCAGCGACCGTGATTTGGGCTGACTAACCAAAAGGGTTGAATATTTTGATGAAGGAAAAAAATAAAAATAAAACTGATGGCGATGGGCGCTGGCGGCATTAAAATATAAGAAAATAAAGTGATTTTAGGTGAACCCACATAACGTGCAGTTGCACTCGTCCTACCAAATCCCAATCTCAAACTTAAAATTAGCCACCCACCTCAGTTATCCCCATATATATACACACACACTCTACATCTTATCTTATTAAATTTAATAGGGTGGTAGGTTTTTAAATGAATAATAATTTAGAACTTTTTATTAAAGAATGTACTTTACTAATATTAATTAAATTTACAATGCAACAGCAATTGAAACAACATTGTGGTCAATCGAGTGGGGCATTGCTGAGTTGGTGAACCATCCTCAAATTCAAGCAAAATTACGAAACGAGTTGGACACAATGTTAGGCCCTGGCGTGCAAATCACTGAGCCTGACACCTATAAGCTGCCCTACCTCCAAGCTGTGATCAAGGAGACTCTGAGACTCCGAATGGCAATTCCTCTCCTCGTGCCGCACATGAACCTCCACGACGCGAAACTCGGGGGCTATGAAATTCCGGCAGAGAGCAAAATCTTGGTGAATGCTTGGTGGCTGGCTAACAACCCAGCTCAATGGAAAAACCCAGAAGAGTTCAGGCCAGAGAGGTTTTTGGAAGAGGAGGCCAAGGTGGAGGCCAACGGAAACGACTTCCGTTACCTTCCCTTCGGAGTTGGGAGAAGAAGCTGCCCTGGAATAATTCTGGCTTTGCCAATTTTGGGCATTACAATAGGTCGCTTGGTTCAGAATTTTGAACTGTTGCCTCCGCCAGGACAGTCCAAGATTGATACCTCAGAAAAAGGTGGACAATTCAGCTTGCACATTTTGAAGCACTCTACCATCGTTATGAAACCAAGATCATTTTAGTTTCACTGCGTTTTATTCCTTCGAAGAGTGTTTGGTATTGTCGTGAGACTGTTCTGGTGAAAACAATGGCTATATGAATTGAATTTGGTACGATATACAATCATGTAAATCTGTATTGAACTTTGAAATGATGAATTAAAATCTGTCGTATCAATAATTTCATCACAAGTTCTCATTTTTTTTTTTATCAAAATTATATTTGGAATATCATATTTGTCATTATTTATAATTTTAAATTATGTTCAAGAAAATTCAATCAATTTACTCTCAAGTTTTTCATATTCTTGATCATTAAGGCTTGCATGTTTCTTTTTGATAGACCACAATTTTTACTCTGTTAATTTAAATTATTTTAAATTTATTTTATTGCATTGAATGAAATACAACTAAAAATCATAGTATTCCATATCTATACATATTGTGGAATATAAAAATAAAATAGTATATAAAAAAATTAAAATTATAACATTTTTTGTTTTGAGTACTATGTACTGCAAAATTATGAATTTACATTTGAAGCTACAAATAAACTCATTATTTGTAAATGAGATCCGGTGAAGCTATAGGAGATCTAATTTAGTCAAGGATATACTGGGTCTGTTTGTTAGGAAAATCATCTTTTCCAATAATATGCTGAATAAAGTTCTAATTAAGTCAGATTATTACTTTTTTAAAATTAATTTTAGTAGTCGTGTATTATTTATTATCCTATTTTTTACACTCTGTAAATAATTATCTGGTTTATAATTACATTTTCAATAATCTACCTCCGACGTACAAAACTAATATGACTGAAATCAACGAACGAATTATGATTTTGGTGAAAATCATAAAATTTTGGTGAAAACTTTAAAAATAATATTTCGAAGGCTAGTGGGTTTATAATCCATTAAAGAATCATCATTATCTTTTCGAGAATAAAAGTGACAGATTTTATTAGTATAACTCATATTATAAAACTCCTCAAAAGTCCATTTAACAAAATTACTGAGGCTCAATCTAACTATTTCTCGATGTTTTTAGTAAAAGCATGCATGGATTCCATCCGGACGTTTTTGAGTAAGTCCAGGGAACTGAGAGGCTCAAAGATCTCCGAATCTTTTATTGATGGTTTCACATTATAGCTCTCAATTTTCTCGCTTTGGAAGGAAACATGGTAAGAATGCAACGAAGGCTAACGTGATCGGTATTAGAGTACACGATCATATGAAATGTTCAAGCCAACCCTAAAATTTCAACAAGGTAGACCAGATTACCATTCAAATTTATGATACAGGAGATCCACCGATGACTATTTTGAATTTTACATAAGGTGTAAAAATAGCTCTTATTACAATTCTCCAATACTAATCTACTCCGTATTACATTCTAACGTTCATTAAAGTACATAGTTGATGAAGAAAACAACTAGACCAATAAACGCTGAGACAGATTTAGTGTGTGAGTCGAGTTATTGAGTGGAAGAAAGTGAGGAAGAAGAGAGAGTGGAAGAATATGGAAAAATAGAAGATATTTTCTTCTCATTAACTGAGGGTTTTTATACATGGAACTAATATGTATTTACAAAATAACCCCCAACTTTACAGAAATAAAAAACGTAGTTTTTTTATTTACAAAACTACTTACCTTGTATACTCTAATACCCCCTTCTCAAGCTGAAGTATACAAATTCTGTATAACCAGTTTGGATACAAGTGCTGTAAACCTTGAAATGGAAAGTGGCTTAGTGAAACAGTCAGCCAGCTGATTGGAGAAAGAAACAGAGAGCAACCGAATGATGCCTGCCGCAACTTTCTGTCGAATGAGATGACCATCAATTTCTATATGCTTCGGTCGCTCATGAAAAATCAAATTTTCAGTAATTTTTATTGCTGACAGATTATCACAAAAAATTACAGCTGGATAAAGATTCACAAGCAGATCAGTAAGCAAAAAACGGAGCCATTGCAGCTCACAACTGATGGCAGCAAGAGCCCCATATTCTGCTTCAAAGGAAGAACGAGATATAATTGATTGTTTTTTTGTTTTTCAAGAAATAAGAGCATATTCGAGAAAGACACAAAGTGACAGATTTATGTGAATTAGGACAAATGGCCCAATTAAAATCGCTAAAACCTTTCAATTTCAAAGAATTATGAACAGGATAAAACAAATCTTGTCCAGGTATGCCTTTTAAGTATTTCAAGATTCGATGAGCAGCCTGTAAATGTATCTGAGTAGGAGTTTCAAGAAATTGAGAAAGTTGTTGAACAACAAAGCATTTGTCTGGCCATGTAGTGGTAAGATACAAAAGCTTACCCAAAAGCTGCCGATATGCAGTGGAATCAACTTTAGGTGAGCCATCATCTTTCACCAACTTTACAAAAGGAACCATAGGAGTTTGAGTGGGTTTACTGTTAAAAAATTATTATCCTGAAGTAAATCCAAGGTATATTTGCGTTGACAAATATTATTTCCTTTCTTAGACCTTGCAACTTCAAGACCTAAGAAGAATTGGAGCTCCCCCAAGTCTTTTATTTTAAACTGATCATGTAGAAAACTTTTGACAGATTGTATTTCTTCCATGTTGTTACTAGCTAATCACATAATCAACATAGATAATAAGAGCAATGACGGAAGAGCTAGTAGATCTGATAAACAAAGAAGAATCTGAATGAGCTTGAATGAAGCCTTATTGCTTCAAAGCATCAATTAATTTGAAATTCCATTGTCTGCTTGCCTGTTGTAACCCACAGAGAGTCTTTTTAAACCTACAAACTTGATTCTGTTAAGTAGAACTAAAACCAGGTAGAATAGTCATTTAAACCTCTTCAGACAAATCACCGTGGAGAAAAACATTATTAATATCCAACTGGTGTAACAACAGCTAGCAAAGTGCGAATAGTTGTGACCTTAGCAACAGGAGAAAAGGTGTCCAAATAATCTATACCAGACTATTGAGTATATCCCTTAGCCACTAATCGAGCTTTATACTGTTCGATAGATCCATCGACATTCCTCTTGATTTTAAAAATTCATTTACATCCAATAAGCTATTTGTTAGGGGGCAATGTAACCAAATCCCATGTTTGATTTTCTACAAGTGCATTAATGTCAGCTTGCATTGACTTTCTCCAACAAAGAGAAACAACAGCTTGGTTATATGTTTTTGGTTCCTGATCTTGGCTTATATCAAAGATAAAGGTTTGATGTTTGATTTTCTACAAGTGCATTAATGTCAGCTTGCATTGACTTTCTCCAACAAAGAGAAACAACAGCTTGGTTATATGTTTTTGGTTCCTGATCTTGGCTTATATCAAAGATAAAGGTTTGTTGTTTGTGTAGAATATGGTTATATGATAGGACATTAGAAATATAATGTGGTGAGAATACATTGATTCTGGAGTTCAGACCAGACACATGATAATCTTTAAGATAAGTCGGTTGCTTTACTAGCTAGTTGACTTTCTAATTGGTAGATCAAGTGGTGACTCTGGATGGGTCAGCTCTTCTGGTGTACAAGTGATAAATGTGGAGTCATTGTATATAGGAGAGGGGAGAGGCGATTAAGGGCGAAGTAGGAGTGAGAGAGAAAACAAGACCATAAGCGACTGACTCAGGTAGACTTCCATGGTTTGTATAATTCTATTGTACAAAATACTTGTATCATTATGCAATTTTGTTGTAAAATTATCAAAATGGGATAAAACAAATTTATCAAAGTCATTAGAAGGTATGGAATGAAATGGAAAGATATTTTCAACAAAATTGACATTTCTAAATATAAAGACTTTATGAGAATAAAGATCATAGATTCGATACCCTTTAATATGAGAAGGGTTACCGAGAAAAATACATTTGGTAGCGCGCGAAGCAAACTTTGATCGGTTGGAGTCTAAGGTGGAAGCATAACACAAGCAACCAAATACCTTAAGATGATGATATGTAAGGATAATATGGAATAAAAGTTCATAAGGTGTTTGATTGTTGATGATTGGAGACGGAATACGATTGATGAGGTATACCGCATGTAAAATACAATATGCTCAGAATTTGGTGGGTAAATTGGCTTGAAATCGCAATGATCTTGCCACATTCAAGATATGCTGATGCTTTTTTTCAACCACACTATTTTGTTGTGGTGTATATGGACAAGAAAGCTGATGTATAACACCCTTACTAGCAAAACATTCGTGTAAATTGAATTCTTTATCATTGTCATATCTCAAACATTTGATTTTGGTTTGAAATTATGTCTTAACATGGGCAAAAAAATTAATTATCAATTGCCTTGTTTCTCTTTTTGTCTTCATGGGGTATACCCATGTATGACGACTCATATCATCAACAATGGTCAAGAAATAACGATGATCATAGAATGAGACAACAGAAAAAAGACTACAAATATCAACATATATTAAGTCAAAACAACAAAAACTTGTAGAGACACTTGTGAGAAATGAAGGTTTTCTTTGTTTAGCAAAATAACATACATCACAAACAAATGAAGAACAAGGAGTTGTTGAATCATTCAATTGATGTAGCACTTGTAGCCTTGGTGGAGAAGGATGGCCAAGACGAAAGTGCCACATATTTTTTTTTTTGTTTACAAGAGAAGAACAGTCACGAAGGTTTGATTTATCAACAGAATGAGTAGAAGAAATTGGTTTTACAACAGAATTCACATTGTAGATATTCTTGAATTTTGGCACTTCAAGATGATACAGCCCATGTCTTACCCTAGCTAAACCAATCTTATTCTGGCTATGAACATCCTGAATGATACAATAATGACGGTTGAATGTCAATGAAAAATGTGAGTGTTTTAACAGCTGACTAATGAAAATCAAATTGATTGTAAACTGGGGAACAAAGCAGGAATTGTGAAGGATGAGGTTTGGTGTAATATGTATTGTACCAATGTGTGTGATTTTAAGCATTTGTGAATTTGGTAATTTAATGAATATATTTTCAATAGGCATGTGTAAAGTGAACAACTCAATCGAGCTCACTATATGATCGCTAGCTCCAGAATTAACGATCCAAGCAACTAGTGCAAATGGAACAGAGGAGAAAGTAGTGTTACCTGGTTCAGTGGAAGGTTGGAACTTAGTAGAGAGGGTGTTGATTTGAGGAGTATTGTTGAAATATTTGGAGCCATTGATAGTTGAATAAGGCATAATATATTGTGATATTGATATTTAGTAAATGAGTATGGCAATGCATCTTGACCACTGCACTGTGCGTTAATTCTTACATGAGAATTAACTACACCAGATTCTAATTCATCAATTTGAGTGCTAACTTGACTTACTCTTGAAATGTTTCGAGGCTTAGGTTTATATCCCGGTGGATACCCATACTTCTTATAACACTTCTCTACTCTGTGTCTAGTGAAGCCACAATAAGTGCATGTTGGCCTCTTACCATTATTGAATCCACTATTTTTAGAATTATACTTCTTATTTCCTCCTATATTATTGCTAATGTTCTGTCCAGAAAACTGACATTTCTGTTGAGGAGCTAAAGTCTTGTTTACATGCAAAACATTTGAATCAAAATTCTATTCTGAAAGTCCTGTATCAAGGTTTTTCTCATGCTGTATAGTAAGTGTAACTACCCTACTCAGTGGAGGTAAAGGATCCTAAATTAGAATATGTGACTTTATAACGCTAAAAAACTCATTTAATCCTCTCAAAAACCAAATGGTTCTATCCTCCTCATAATATTTTCTAACTGTTGTTCCAACACTACATAAACATTGCGTTTTACTGTCATAAGAAGGTCTGTCACAAGGAGGTAGATGCCTTAGGTTCAAAAACTCATCCCACAATATCTTCAAATGTGTGTAATATTGTGTGACTGAATAGGTTCCTTGTTTCATCATTGAAATCTCATCTTGGAGATTAGCTATTTTAACTGCATCACCTTGAGAATATCTATCATGGAGGTCCTTCCATAAATCTCTGTAAAATCACGAACCTAAAGTTTTAATTTTAGCAAAAAAAAAAACTCAATTGGAAGAAATATCAAACTCTGATACCATATTACATTCTAACGTTCATCAAAGTACATAATTGATGAAGAAAACAACTAAACCAGTAAACCCTGAGACAGATTTAATGTGTGAGTCGAGTTATTGAGTGAAAGAAAGTGAGGAAGAAGAGAGAGTGGAAGAATATGGAAAAACAGAAGATACTTTCTTCTTATTAACTGAGAGTTTTTATTCATGGAACTAATGTGTATTTCCAAAGAAAAAACCCGACTTTACAGAAATAAAAAACACAGTCCTTTTATTTACAAAACTATTTACCTTGTATACTCTAATACTCCGTACAAGCTTTTTGGTACCTAAACTTTCTTCCCTCTTTAGGGTGTTCAAAAGTCTAGTAAGCTTTGAGGGTGGATTTAGATTTTCGAGAAAGGAAGATTTTCTGGATTCCAAGAATTCTTCAAGGAAGGCAGTTCTTGTTATTAATAATGTGCCAAAATTTCGTATCATTCTACTCTTTAGCCTTTTTCATAAAATTGACAATACTCTCAAAGATGGGGAGATTAGGAGAACAAACTTGCTCAACAAAGGATTTAGACTCCGGGTGAGCCTCCAAGCTGCTCCAAATCTGAAGGGTCTCCAATGATCCAATGATTCTTGACTGTTCCCAAGCTTATTTTAATAAGGTAGTGGTCATGGTAGCACTCGGTAAGGGTGTTAAACTCCATATCCTAGAAGAGAATATGACTCAGAAATGAAGTAAACTTATGAAGCCTCACTTTCGCAGAGCCTTTCGTCCAGGTAGACCCGGGTCCTTTAAGATCCCAATTGATGAACCCATATTCTTCTATATCAAAGTGGAAGATGTAAGCTTGTCTATCATAATCAATGGAACCCTCAATTTGGTCCACCGGAGAAGCAAATGTCATTTGAATTACCAACAAGGATCCATGGATCAGAAATAGCATGATCCAAATCCTTAAGGTGGTTCCGAAGCTTACCAGCAAGGATTCATGAAGGCTAGCATGAACCGAAATGAAGATTCATTTGAAATTATTATGGGAAATTTTACAGTGAATACATTGTTTTAGGGCTTGTACAATTTAAATAGAGTAAGATTGCCTTAATACTCAAATTCTCTCAGAAAAGCTAATCGCATTAGGACGAACAAACTGCCGAAAACCCAATTTATTTATGAAATTATTTGCATATCTGCTATTTGTGGAATTCATAACTAGATAAGATCTAGTTAAATTGCTAATCACATCAGATCAAAAATAATAAGTAGGAAGAAAATCCCGGAATTCATCGTCGCTGGATTTATTAGTTAACTACGCAGATAAAGTTTAACCAAATCGGATGAAAAAACCCTAAAATTCAACGGAAGGAAAAAACAAAAACTTGATGAAGAGAATAAGAACAAAAATGTGGGTCTAAACCAGGCCCCCTAATCAAAGCCCCAGGAAGAAGCTCATAGGGAGCAGACATGTCGACCCTTTGGAGTCCCTCTCCGTGCACACTACCATGCTTCCTTCATCCTTTATTCCAGAGCATCGGCTTATTGTACACGGTTTTAAATCAAACACATTCAGTATCACATGCACATAAAACCCCACAATCAGAGAAGATCAAAACTTGAGAAAATAACTCCAAAATAGAAGAGTTATGGAGCCTACCGACTGAAATCCTGAATCTGCCGGAAGCCCTGACGAAGATGAATGCCCCTTTTGGTGAGTATTTATAGCGGAGACACTCATTTTAGGGTTTTTCCCCCTATTTCGAAGTTGTAAAATACCAAAAAGGCCATCACCATAACTTTGAAATTACAAAAATGCCTTAGCCCAATCGTTTGATGGCCTAGAAGTTTGAAGCAGAAGAAGTGCAAATTCTGATTGGATATATTTGTGGAATTCATAGCCCTTCTTTGCCCTGTCACTTCCCAAAGACATCTTAGGGCTTCTCCTTTCCTCAATTTCCAAGTTCTGAAATACCAAAAAGGCCATTAACTGCAAAAAGCCCGAATTCTGATTGCATAAATTTTAATGGGAATTTTTCACGGGCTTCCCTTTTATCCTCTTAACGCAAATAGAACTAGTTAGAAATGAGCATGATCAGTTGAGCAATGAAAAGGTTGTCTTTATTACAAGAAACAAAACAAGGGCAATAATAATAGTATTAGAAGACCTTATATTCCATATTTCTTCTTAAGCTCCAACACAAACTCATGAATTTTATAAGGGTCAGCCAGTGACTTGGACACACTTTCCAGTTGCGCGCACCGTTTGGCCCATGCCACGATCTTAGGACACGAAGCTTCGATGCTGAAACTCCCACAATTCTCCAAGCAATAAAACCAGCTGGTGAATGGCACGAGACTCACATCCACAAACCCAATGGTCTCCCCACCAAAGTATTGCTTCTCGCCAAGCTCCCCTTCAAGGGTCTTTAAGGATTCAATCAACTCCTGCTTTGCATTCTCTAACTCTTCCCCTTTCCCCGCCCATATCTTCTTCCCAAGTGAGAGTACTTTTTTGTCTGTGTAGTCAGCCCAGAACCTGGCTTTGGATCTCTGGAGAGGATCGGCGGGGAGCAGAGGAGATTTTTTATTCCAGACCTCATCGATGTATTCGACGATGATGAGGGACTCGCAGATGGGATTTCCATTATGGATCAAAACAGGAACGAACTTGTGAACCGGGTTCATCTCGAGAAGCAGACTGCTCTTCTTTTCAACCAAGTTCTGTTCCTGTCGCTCGTAGTCAATTCCCTTATCGGCTAGAGCAATTTTCACTCTCATTGCGTAAGAACTTGGCCAGAAATCCAACAAGATCAATTTTTCCTCCATATTGGGTTGTTTTCAACTTGGAGAGAAACTGTGATTTCGCATATTTATAGCTGTTAACTAGAGCCGGCCGGCCGGAGGTAGGAGAAATGACATCACCGCTTACGAATTCTTCATTTTTTTTTTTAAAAAAGATTTTTTTAATCTCTTGTCTTGTCTTCCAAGTACATGTTTAAGATGTTGCCATGCAAAAATCTCAATTAGTTTTTAAGGTTAATTACCCCATCAGATCACATCCTTATTACGAGTTCTTGAAGAGTCCTCACTCTTTTAACTGGGTTTTTTCAGTATTAATTAAACCCAAGTTTTTTCTTTTCAAAAATAAAACTATAACTGAAGAGGACATATACTAAGAATATGTAGATATATATATATGTGTGCGTGTATGTATGCGTGTGTTTGACTCGATTGTACTTTTGCTTTATGAGTATTAAAATAATTATTAATTGAGATAAAATTTTAATTAAAAATTATTTCGTATTTGGTATAAATAATTGTAAAAAATATTATTATTTAAGAAAAAAAACTGTATATTTAGTGAAAATGATTTTTGAAACTTTAAATATAAATTTTTAATAAAAATTAATATGAATGTTATTTTTTTTAAAAAAACTACACATCATAATTTTTAAAATACTTTATATGTTATCCTGTTATTTATAAAAATATTTATAAAATCCTAAAATTAAAATAAAAAATTTATGTAAAAAGCACAAGCCTTTCTCTATAAACTTGTTATCATGATCAACACTCAAATTATTTATTTTCTCTGATCCAAAATGACAAACAAACTAACAAATCCTCATAACATACATTACAACTACTCATTTCATTATTAGAAATAAAACTAAAGCAACAATGGCATTCATCAACCTACTCCATCCCATACTTCTTCCGAAGCTGCACCCCAGTCTCATAAATCTCGTGAGGATCCGGCAGTGACTTGGCCACACTGTCCAGCTGCGCGCATCTTTCCGCCCATACCACTATCTTCGAACACTCACATTCAACGCTGAAACTCCCACAAGTCTCCAGCGCATAGAACCACCGGACAAAAGGCAACAACACCACATCCACCAACCCAAGTCCCTCACCCCCAAAGTAACGCTTCTCTCCAATCTCTTTTTCCAGAGTCTTCAAACATTCAAACAACTCCTGCTTTGCAGCCGCTAGCTCCTCTCCTTTTGCCGGCCATATCTTATACGGAAGCGGGGAGATCTTCTTGTCTATGTCGTCTGCCCAGAGTTAAGAAAGTTGTTTATCAAGCTAGACAATTCTCAGCACTGATGGAAGATTCATTTACTTGTATTTTGAGTTGGAAGATAAAATACATATGTATAGAGCTCCTTAGCTCTTGAAGTACTGAAAAAAATATCAGCAAGGTAAGAAACACAGAAAGACAAAAGTAACATGGAAATGTAGCTGGTACATGCAGCTTTAACGGTTTCCAGTCCCGGAGGATTTGGCACTCAGGAGGAGGACGATTGCATTCCAGTTGTCGGCCATGCGTGTTGGTCGGTGATCTGTGAGGTGAGATGGCGTGGTGACTGGAGCTTTCCGCTGAGCTGGACAAGTTGGCACACTTGTCTTCAAGCAGAGACTGATGCCAGTTGTTCTTAACATTCCCCCTCAAACTTGTCAAGGGAAGCGGTCGGTGAACTAATCCAAGTTTTTTCCTGAAATACTTAACCTGTGTTTGTGACAGAGTCCTAGTGAAGCAATCTACGGTCTGATCGCACGAAGGCACGTATTTAATGTCCAGGGCTCCTTTTGTTACTTGATCGCAGACAAAATGAACGTCCGCTTCAATGTGTTTGATTCGTGAATGAAAAATGGGGTTGCTTGCAAGAGTAGTGGCACTCATATTGTCACACCAGGCTATTGGAGTTTGTGATGAAGATATATTCATCTCTTTGAGTAGGGACTCCAGCCATATGATTTCACAGGCAAAAAGGGTCAGCGCTCTGAATTCGGATTCTGCGCTTGATCTTGAAACAACACTTTGCTTTTTAGAGCTTCAAGAAACTAAAGTTTCTCCAAGGTAGATGCAGTAGCCTGAAGTCGACTGTCTGTCATCCCTTGAGCAGGCCTAGTTGGCATCCGAAAAGCCAACAATGTTTAGTCTATCACTGGGTTTGATGCGAACGCCGACATCTGTTGTTCCTTTTAAGTAACGAATGACTCTTTTCAAAGCTTTCATGTGATGGTCAGTGGATTTTTGCATGAATTAGCTAAATTTGTTGATAATGAATGATATGTTAGGCCTTGTATGAATTAGATATTGGAGAGACCCTATCATTTTCCGATAGGGAGTTGGATCTTTCAGCTCTTCTCCTTCTCCAGTAAACAACTTGTTCCTAAGAACAGCCGGTGTTGGACAAGCCTTGGTCGATGACATGTTATTTTGTTTAAGGAGGTCTTTTACATATTTTGTTTGGGTGAGAATAAGACCAGTGTCATCACGGGTTGCCTTAATGCCGAGGAAAAGATGGAGGTCTCTAAGGTCTTTGAGAGCAAAGGAGTTATGAAGTTGGTTGACAATATTTTGCATCATTTCTGGTTGGTTTCCTGTAACTATTATGTCATTAGTGTAAATTAGGATGAAGATTTGAGTTGTCTTTGTGAGAAAATGAAAAAGGGATGTGTCTTCTTGTGAGTTTCTGAAGCCTCATTCGATCAATGAGGAATTTGAGCTTGTCAAACCACGCTCTTGGGGCTTGTTTCAGACCGTAGAGCGCTTTGTTGAGTTGACAGACTTGGTAGAGGTGTTTGGGATCTTCGAAACCTTCTAGTTGTTTCATAAAGACAGTCTCTTCTAATTCTCCATTTAAGAAAGCATTGTTAATATCTAGTTGTTTGATATTCCAACCGTTTGTTACAGCTAACACTAGGATTACTCGAAGTGTTAATGCTTTAATTACTGGGTTGAAGGTTTGATGGAAGTCTATTCTAGGTGTTTGGTGAAAATCCTTTGCTACTAGCCTTGCTTTCCATCGTTAGAAGCTACCATCAGCATTGGTTTTAATTTTGTAAACCCATTTATTGCCAACCAGATTCATTTTTAGTTAATAAGGGACTAGCTTCCATGTTTGATTGTTTCTAAGTGCTGATAGTTCTTATTCCATAGCTGATTTCCAGTGAGGAATTTTGAGTGCTTCTGCAATGGAGGTGGGAGTTATAAGGTTGTCAATAAGTACTGTTTTAAACAATTGGAAACCTTGTGGCATACTTCTTAGTTTGAAGATCCTTGCTTGAGCTCTAGTGATCATCTGGTGTCTTGGTGCTTTTATCTGTGTATTTGCGGTTTGTGTCCTCTCTTCTTCTTGTTCTGATGGTGTTGTGCTTTGAATGGAACCAGACACTGGTTCTTCATTTCTTGGTGAGTGTTGTGGTGAGTACTCTACCACAGGTGAGTTAGCTGGTGCGAGGGGTTCTCCAATGACTTACCTGCTTGGACTTTTTGGGATAAGAGATGCAGGTTTGGAAGAAATATTTAACCAAAAAGGGAGTGTGATTGAAGAGACAGTGTCAGGTTGATGTGTTTTGACGAAGCCATGGTGATAGAAAAATTCAAGTTCATTGAAGACAACATTTCTGGAAATGTATATTTTTCCAGTAAGATTGAGATATTTGGTTCATCTCGAGAAGCAAAGCGCTCTTTTCGGCCAGGTTTCGCTCCTTGGATTCGTACTCGATCCCTTTCGCGGCTAAGGCAAGTTTCACCCTCATTGCGTACGAGCTTGGCAGGAAATCCAACAGAATCACTTTGTCCTCCATCTTTGCACAAGACTGCTACAGATCGGCCTGTTTTGTTTAGGCAAAGAGAATTAGGCTTTACTTTTCACTTCACCATATATATATATATATATGTATGTGTATGCTTGTTTAGGGAGATAGCAATAATATGACATCATTCCTTACCAGATCCATGTTTTTCTTTTCTTCCAGAATTATTTCTTATCAACCAAGTTGGTCTTTACCCTGCGACCATGCCAAGTGGAGACTATTATTTACTGGTCTTGTAATTAAGAAAGTATTCATTGTTTAAGGAAACAGCTCAATGTTTTTTAGTTTATTGCATTAGATCCTATCAAGTTTTTTCTTTTCATAATTCATTTTTGAGATTAATTCCTTGTTTTTAGATTAATTTAAATGATCAAAATTTTGTAACCAGAAAAATATTTCAAAAAATTTTATTATAATAAATATTTTAATAAGTAATTTGCTGTTATTGAATCTATGAAGAATCATCATTTATGCCATTAAATTTTTTTAATATAAAATTATCGTAATTTTTTAATAATAATTAATACATTTTATTAAATACAAAGCACATTTATAACGGTAACAATATAATAAATTTATTTAAAGTAGATTTCTGTTTTGCATCATATGGTGCCGCCGAACTTCATTGACTGCTAAGGACATAAACGACTAATAAGTCTCTTTGTTTGACTGCGTTTTGAACGGCGGAGTGGATATGGGGCCAAAATGGAAATTCATTAATCTGCGGACCCTCCCAAATTGCAAATAGAAAAGACTATCGGGGTAAAAATTAATCATGTCGCGGGAAAGAAGTCAGATACATTTTTTGGGTACAAAAAGGCGCACGCGCACACACACACACACATATATATATATAGCCAGAACAAAGTTTCCTGTTAAAATCAAATTAACGGATCGCGAGAATGCAACTGATCCTCCTAGGTATTCTTCTTCTTCTCTTTTTTAATCCCAAAGTTTTGAAGACTCGGGACCATGGTTTACTATTTTGTCGTGGAGATGGTTATGATTTTGCTTGTAATTTAGTGGCGGGCAAGCTGGATGAGCTTGCTTTGACGCATTGCGGCTTTGTTTCATCTTCCCTTGGGATACATTTGCATGCGCCTTTTCCTTTTCTTTTTAGAAATTCACTTTTTTCTTCTCTAGAGGAGATTAGTATTTCACGCTTCTGGAAGTTTGCGGATTTCAATCTATGCAACTTTCTCTATCATTACAGACCAAGCTTTAGTAATCGTCTTTTGCACTCAACAATAAGACAGTGATATACACGACCTCTCCTGTCCTTCGCTGTGCTTGTCTTTCTCTGTTTGTTTGCGAGGTAATAAATACTCGTTAGCTGTTGTTGTAGTCACCTTTCTAGTTGAATAGATTGATTTCCGCTGGATGAGATTTTGTAACAATATATAGATTTGTATTCAATGTTTGTTTCTTCCTGCTGAATTATGACGGTGTTGTCATAATTGTAATTTTTTTAGATTTCCGGCATTAAGCTTTCTCTTCGTAATAATATTTCACCGTGTGCTTTATTCCTTACAAATTTTCAACAGTTCGAAAGTTTTCATCGACGCTCTAGTTTTATATTAAATATTAGGTGTCACCTCTTGCTGCATTTTTAACCACTCAATAACTGTATTAGATTATTAGTATACTATATTCTCTAATGGCTATGTTGCTAAATCGACCTCCATGGGTTCCCAGACTCACACAACTGTCACTATTGAACAAGATGATTTTTCCCCTATTTACTCTTTTGCTTCTGGAATATTATTTTATTTTGTTGGTGGTGCTATCTGTTTTCGTAGGGAGTTCAAGATGTTACAATGGATGGGTGGATCAAGGCGAAAAGTGACCACTGTAAGTGGTTTGGTCTATGTTTTACTTTTGTAAATGTGCACCGTGTGTGTATGTGTGTGTTTTAAGTTAGCGGGTTATAGAGTCAGATCAATAGATGTGGATGGATTTACAGCAATAGCATTCAATTGTGATGCAATATTGATAGTGGTAGTTCACATAAATTCTAAGGCAGAGCTGAATATTGCAAAATAGTCCAGTGTTTCCTCTTAGAGGTAGGAACTCTTCCTTGTGTGTGAGTCTGTGCCATTGTTGTCGTGGAAAAAGTTATTTAAAATTTGCTGTTCTTTGTATGTGGAATTTAAAGTCTAAAGGCGCACCTGAAGTTAAGAGCTTAAGTAATTCTGCCTAATTTCACTTCAGTCTTGCGTTTATAAGTTTGTCAGGAAGAAAATTTGTCATTCTTGAATACTTGTACCAACTTGGTTAAAACTTCTGCTACATGTACGACCATGATTCTTTGAGTTGTAGCCCTTCATTTCATCTCTAGATTTAAGTAAATGATGTTGAATTTCTGTTCTAACATGTTGCTTCTTTGCTGCATAATATCTTTGGAAATTCCAGTCACGGAAGTCTACACATAAGAGGTAAAAGAATTCTCTCTCTCTCTCTCTCTCTCTTTCTTTGACACACACACACACGCGCGCAAACAAAATGCAGTTTTTGCCCACCTGTATTAAAACAGAAGGTTCTTCCACTAAGCAACTGAAGCTCATATTGAACGTAAAATCAACTCTGTAATTATGCGACCTGTCTTCATACTGAAGAATAAGTAATGTGGATTTGTTAGATATAATGAATCAGAAACACAAACCTATGTGTTCTTACCTTAATCCCTAACTTTGCTAGACAAAAGCAATATTTTGAACAAAGGAAACGGCAACAACAGGAGCTGGTAGCTGGGCTTGAGAACAATGCTGATGGAGTAAACCCAGCTAATCGACATCAGAAAGAACAGCGATCATTGGATATTCTCAGTTTGCTGAACTTGTCAACATTTGCTCAAGAATGCAATGGTCCTTATCCAAGTGGTACATCTACTATTTATCAATGCTTGTATTTTCTTTTTATGTCACTATGAAATTAGGCAGGAATAAGATTAAGTCATGTCTACCATTTTCTACTTTGGAGAATCAGGGATTCTTTGTTGAATCTAGCAGGATAAGATGTTTTCATGTACCTGTTTTTCTGCTTCAATTACTGAATTAGATGATGAAATGGTATTTATGTCCATGACATGGTTACACAGTTCTTTCTATCATTAGTTGCTCTGGGAGATTTTTGCAATAGACATTATTTTAGTTTTATAAACATAGGAGTAAAGTGTGGTGTGTTTTCTTTGTTTGTCATTCTTGCAATCAGTTAAATCCATATGCTGTTTTTATCCCTGGATATTCTTTTCGTAAAACCATACAAGGGAGGGGGGACATGGAAGTCAAAGCTTCAAGACTGGATCATATCATGAAAGGTCTGCCAACAAAGCCTAATGGAACAACTGCTTCTGGAGATTCCATAGAAATTACAAGAACAAGTACGTAGATGTGGTCTGTCTTCTCCACTCTTGGAATGAAGGTCTACCTTTTGGATATATCAGGTTATTTAAACTTGTTAAATGGTTTTGAGATGTTTTATTATACTGTCTTGCTGCTTAAATAGGAAGTGCATCGGGCGAACACATGGAGACTATATCTCCAAAGAAGTGAGTTATGAGCTTGTTCATACACCCTTGTCTTTTTATGGAATGCTTTCCCTCCTGTTCACACATGGAAACAAAAACTACCAAAAACCTAGAGATGGAAAAATAGCTTTCATGTGCATCTACTATTTACTCAAGATGACTACAATAATTTGAAAAAGATTGAATAAAATGCATAGCATCATTTTGGTTTGTGATTTTTCATCATATGGAAATTTTCGTTCCTTGTAACTTCTAATGTGAATGTATAAAGGATGAATCATTGTCTTCAAATGTCTGACATTCAATAATTCAATAATTAATTGTCGTAAAAATATTCAAATCTTTGAACTCATAGCCTGAGGAGTTCACGTTGTAGTTGCATCTCATCTAAATGGTTGAAATTTGAGACCAACTTCTTTATAATCTTACTGTTTTTCTTACATGCCTAAATCTTTTATTATTTTCCAAGAGTGCAAAGCTACCCTTGATAAAAGTTGATGCCTTTACATGCTCACAGGGTTCATTAGCACACCTGAGAATTGTGACAATTCTCTCACTGGAAGTGATAAGAAACAAGATCTCTCAATGGAAGCTCCTGACCAACGTAAGTCGTATATATTAGATTCAAGTTGCAGATTTCAAGTAAGGTTCTTGTCATTTCCTGCTGATATTGTCGCTTGCCAAATATCTTCTCCTGTTACTTTCTTTAGCATTCTGTTAAGGTGCATTCATGATGTGGAGATATGTTTGCAGCTATTTTTTTTTTTTTGTTGAATATGACTGTAAATACATTGAAAATTCAATTCTTTGAGGTTTTGACATCCTTTCTTCTCTGTTTTGTTTTCAGAATTATCTGTGTTTGATTTGCTTAGTGATGATGGACCAGATGGCGGCCAGGGAGGAAGTCCAGTGTTTGAGGCTCATGTTGCCTTTTCGGTTGAAGGTATGGTCAAAACATTTGGTAGTCTTAATTCTTGGTTCATTCATAAAATCAGGTTTTAGTGTACCTATAAGTTGACTTAAACCTGTGGTGATTGGTTTTACTTACCAAGATGCCCGTCATTTGTTTTCATATTTGTTGGGAAGCTTGTTTTCATGTAAATTTATGATTCATATCTCTGTTTCAAAGACAGTTGCTGTTTTAAGTTTAGCCTTTGGAAGTAAATGGGACAGATAATGATTAAGAGCTGGACAAATGGCTTATGGTCAAGAACATGGAAGTTAGCAAAAAAAGTAACAAATTGTCCACGTATGAATCCATTCTTTTGCAAATGTAGTTCTAGTGTTTCCTCTAATTATTGATGTAGTCCTGGCTTATGTGTCCGTACATTTGGCATCTACTTAGCAAGTTAAAACATATATTCTGAATTCTCATTCGATGATGTGACTGTTTGAAAAATTTTATCTATGCAAATATTAGCTGAAAGTATCTGTAGTACTATTTTGGAACAATTGCGTTTGTTTAAGACTCACATTCGCCCATCAGGTTTAGGAAAAGTTGGAATAGAAACGCCAAGACATTCACCAAAACAACCTGAGAGGTAACTTGAACACATTTAGCATATGCATTTTGTATTTTAGATTCTGCATTTAGAATTTTTCTCTTAAATGTCACTAGATTTTTTCCCTGTTTCTGATAGAAGACAGTAATTCTTGGAGAACATTTTCATGAACCATGACTGGCACAATACAGTTCAGTTCATCTCCTGAACATCTATTCTGCTTGCAGTCCATAATAACTTACTATCTACACTTTTACTCTGTGTATAGCACTTTCTACATTCTCATTAGTGTTAAACACAGTGTTTTTCCAAGCTAGTTCAGTTTTTTAATCCTATTAAATGAATGGACTGATTGGAGACATGGTCTAAGAAAGATGAAATGTACACGCACATTATGTGGTTCATGCCGTTCAACTTGTAAAGATGCTTTACGATCTTTCTAGGTTGATGCTTTCTTAGACAGGTGTGCTAGATAGTGTTTGTCGGTATTCTAACCAATTTCTTGTCCGATCTCACATATGCTTTAGACATGCTGTTAACTGTAACTATGCTCCAAGGCTTCTTAGGTGTTTAATTTTTTAGTTTCCATGAAAACGACCTTTAGTCTGCAGCATGACAAGGTTTTATTTAAAGCAGGTTCTTGTTTTATACTTTATATCTGGCAATGACTTCATCGAAGCTATCATTTTAAGAAAGAAAGAATATAAATACTTGACCTGACCAGTGCTTTAATTTTTTGAGCTTATAGGATCCTTTCCTATCAATGCTCGTCGCCGTGGAAGGCGGCAAGGCCGCCTAATTCATCTAAAAACTTCAGTTACATTCTGGATGATCTTGAACTTGAAGGGGTGAGGATGAGCTCTCTATAAGCTTGTTGTCATGGTGGATTTATCAGTAGGGAAATTGTCTAGATATTTTGAGGATTTAAGTCAGTTATGGTTAGGAAGGCTGTTTTTATTATTGAAGTTTAGCACTTAATTAATTAACTTTAGGTTGTCTCAAGTAGCTTAAATTGAATTATTGAATTTCTGAGTGTTACTTAAATTTAGATTGGAACATGGAATTCTCATACTGTGCCTACTGCAGGAAGCAATATTCCAAGATGATAATATGCCCCTAAGTGGAAGTTCTCTGGAGTTTCCAATAGGTGTCTTTGATTCTTGTAGCAATGAAATGCCCAATTTATACAGTGTCAGAGATGATGCCAAATATAGAAGTGAAGTACAGAGATATTTCTTTAACACAAAAATCTACAACATTGGACACGACAGAGGAGATATC